TTGGATCAGCTTGGCTTACCCACCTTGACAACTCTAAGGAAGAGCCCTCAAGAACTGATCCATGGTAACCCTCTCTACTATTAGTTGCTGTGTAAGAGCCTCCGGCTGCAACCTCCATCATACATTTGGGAGTGGGAAACTCACTCCGCCTTGTTGTTCCAGCTGTGTACCCACTGCACCCTTACCAAAGGTTGTCACCCCCAGACATCACAGGATCTCTTCTTTTAATTTGTCACAGTCCTGGGCATTGTATAAGGTCAGACTGAAACACACCTTTTGGAAGATAACCAAGGCACGAAAAGCACTGGCCACCCTTTTTTAGGGCAGCCTGCACTTTTGCTGTCCTCTCAAAAGTACATTGAAGTGGCCTCTGCCCCATTTTGGTTTACTGTGCCTACACAGGCATCCCAAGGGGAAACGGCATAAACAGCTGAAGTCTGGCCTGAAAGCTGCTGCATCACTTCTGCAATGGCTTGTTGGTCTCTCTCTGCTGCTTGGGCCAATGCACTCACTTGAGCCTCAGTGCTTGCTACCTGGGCAGTCAGCAGTCTATTTGTTTCATGCTGAGTTACACTGGCCTGTTGCTGCTGGGCAGGCAAGAGTCTATTAGTTTCCTGCTGCTGTGCCAGGTTCTGCTGATAAGCTTGTTGCTGGGCTGCATTAGCTTTTTTTCAAGTCCTTCATGCCACAGATGGAGAATGTACATAAAAGTGCACTATGACTTTAAAGCAGCCTTCCTCAACCAGGGTGCCTTGAGGTTTCTTCAGGGGTGCCTTGGCAAAATGTCTAAAAATTGCCCAAAACTTGTATACAAGCCAGCGGGTGGAACAAGCCCACATTTTAGTTACACAAAGCCACAGGTTTTCATTGTGCACCATTATGACCTTCTAGCCACCAGCGTCCTGACAACCAATGACATCATCAGTTGATAAGGTGGATGTCAGCTGCCTGCACAGCATCCTAAGTTGACCCTCCCCTGCCCCTCTCCATCAGTGCTGGGGGCACATTAGCTCAGTGATGGAGAAAAACTGAGGGAGAAGAGAAACATCGGCATACTAGTCAGTACCAGTGTGCAAAAGTGTATTTGCTTTGGAAGAATACATCACCTCTAATGTTGGGTGTCCTACATGTGTAGATATTGCTGTGTTGTATAAAACTATTACAATAGTTATTCACATTTTAGAATGGGGTGCCCTTTTAAAATTATGGACAGTCTTGAGGAGACGTGACTCAAGACTGTCCATAATTTTAAAGGGTGCCTCGGGACTGTCCATAATTTTAAAGGTTGCCTTGACTGAAAAAAGGTTGAGAGACATTGCTTTAAAGCACTATAGCTCTCAGTATTTGCACCTTCATGCAATACCGTCAGCTGTCAGCAGGTTCACAGCGACTACTGGGTTTATCTGCAGAATATACACAGCAGTTTTACAGATTCAGTAAACAGTACAGTGTTTCGTAATTTTCTGCTGAGACTCACTTTCCATGGTTTTTAGCTCGATGGCACTTTAGCACAATGTACACACAGTTCACAACAAGAAATGGTGGTGTATTTTCTCAGAATGATCACAAAAGGTCATTCAATCCTTTGCAAATACTATTTACATTACTTTAGCTCAGGAAATTCCAGCAATTAGGTTATGTGTATTTCATCTAGAAAATATGGATTTACCATTGGAGGCCTTCATTTGTCTCCGCTGTGAGTTTTTTTTCTTTTACAGATTAAAATCAGTTCTTTACTGTTGTATGAAAGATCTGATGCCTTCAAAGAAACATTTTTCCTTGAAAAACTCATTCTGGTTAATTTAACCATGAGATTCAATTCCGGGACATGTACAGTAATGCTTATTACCGGCATTACTGTTTGACATATTTCAAGTTTCAGTTTGTAGAGATGTTTTCGATCTTGTAGTCTTAAGCTCCGTACACACAATGAGAATATTGGACAAACGATCGCCCGCTTTTTTTCACCTGCTAGTCTCACATTGAAAGTGAAAAGGTTGCTAAAGATGCGAAAATTCTTGTACGATAGAAAAGAATTTTGAAAGTGATGTCATGTATTGTATTGTATTTGTATTGTATTTTCAGACTACTGCACTCATTAAATGAAAATCGTACATCTTGTATTGTACGAGAAAAAATATTGCGCTTGTTCCTTCAGATATTGTCGCACAAATTTTTGTGATCTGTGTACTAACAATCCGATTATCGGATGTTCGGTCCTCTTACAAAAATTTTCGTATGATTTTCTTGTAGTGTGTACGGGGCATAAGTGCAAGTACACAGAGTTTCTTGTTAAAGTGTATCCATGGTCTAAAATTAAAATCATATATTTATTACCACGTTGTATTTTACTTATTTCTGGCCTACAACTATTAATCTGAAATATTTTTTAAAGAATGCTACAGTTACGGCCTTTAATTCTGTGACACATAGTCACTATGCCCTGTGAATATGCTCTACTTTGTTATACATTTCACAGAGCCTGCCTTCTGAACTAGAGGTGCATAGGAGGCACAGTCACTTCAGGAACAGGCCAACATGCTTGCAGGCAGTAAGGTACCATGGGATGTGTAGTCCTTAGAAATTGAAAGAAAATCAAAGGAATGAGCAGATGAGAATCAGCAGGGAATCCAGGAAGTTGTGGATAGCGATGGCCAGCAGATAGGCAGAACTCAGAATATGAAAGAACATTTTCAAGTTTTCGATTGTCAAAAATGATAAACTTTTTGTTTGTACTGCTCTTACAATGCTGACATTGTTGTAAAATAAAAGTGTATGCTGTAACTTTAGATCAACTTAAAGAGTTTACTGCTGTCTGCTCTAAAGCAAAATTCTCAAGAAAATTGTATAATGTATGGCCAGCCTAACAGATCTTTCTTAGCTTTTGTTGTGTTTCTGGGACAGAAAGTGGAAAAAAATTAGTATATAGCAAAAAAAAAAAAAAAAAAATGTAATAATAATAATAATACCATGGCAGGGGTTTACCTGTCCTTCTCTATCCATATGCTTTTAAGTGTGTGTGTTTGATTGTATTTAAAGATGCACAGTCAGTGCTGTCAGCCGTGCCAGATCCAGAATACTCTGCAAATTGCTTTTGACCTCTTGATGATCCAATGTGTCTCAAAAATATCAAACAGGAAATGTATCTTTGTAGCTACATTTGGATAAAATAAAGAATAGAGATAGCATGTTGTACTGGAGTGGAGCCATTCTGTAGCAAATGCTCCAAAGGCCTGTCGGGACTATCTAATATATCTCATTCAAAAGCTGCTAGGATTTCCTTCCGGCTAATAAAACATGCAATCATTTTTATTGTCCAGTAAGGTCATAATGTTACATTTTCTCCATGTCATAGTATTAACCTGGGTATTGTTACAGTTATAAATATGAATATCTCATGAGAACAGACAAAACAACACATTAACAGTTGCAAATCAAGGTGAAACAGTGGCATTGGTGTAGAAATATTTGTTTGCCCTTCCTGAGCAAAGTAATGAATACAATATATGGTAAAGACCCATAAAACTTAATTAAATGTAAAGTTTAAATCCGATGAATACTTTTCAGGTGTGTCAAAATAGAAGGTGTCCTACAGTTCATTTTCTTTAGAAAGCAGACACAGCCTGTATAGACAAGCCTGTCTCCTGCTCCTGTCTCCATATATATGTGTGTGTGTGTATGTATGTATGTGTATATATATATATATATATATATATATATATATATATACTGCATGTTGAAATGCGTTTTTTATTTATATATTACAAAATATATGAAAAATATTTGTAAAAATTTTATATTTTTTAAATATACTCTTCAGATTTTTTTTTAACATATATTTGTAAATGCCTTCCAAAAATGTAGATTTGTAGTTTTGAAGATATACAGTATATTTGAAAATGTATTTTTACAAATATTTTTCATATATTTTGTAATAAAAACACATTTCAAAATACAGTGTGTGTGTGTGTGTGTGTATATATATATATATATATATATATATATATATTTTTAATATATTTTTAAATATATTTTATATGGCCAAAATTGTAGTATTTCAAATATATGTCAATATATTTGTGAAGAATATTTTTTAAATATATTTCAATATATTTTTCTTCCATGTGGGTGGTAAGTTTCTTCAGAAGCCATCACTAGTTATAAAATTTAAACAAGAAGACAACCATCTTTGGGTAACTGAGAAAGCTGGTGGCAAGCAAATTGTCTTTTTAGACTTTGTATGTGTCCTTCCATTAGGGTTGCACTGATGCCGATATCTGTATCAGTGCTGATACTGAGCATTTGCACGAGTATTGGTACTCGTGCAAATGCTCTGTTACTAAAAACCGATACCTTTTAGGTTCCGTTCTTTCAGCTGTAACAGGAATTCCCCTGCTGACAGCTGAAATGTAAAAAAAAGTATGCCGGCAAATATGGGCTGTTGAGGGGGCCGTCCCATCCTTAACAACCAATGACATTTCAGCTGTCACTGGGATTCCCCTGCTGACAGCTGAAATGTAAAAAAAAAAAAGTACAAAGATACAGTGGCATCACTACAGGGGAACAAGGAGGGTCAATCCGCCTGTCAAAACTATTGGTTGCTAGGCCCGCCTAGCGACCTAACAACCAATTAGGTGTTTGGAAGGCTCGGCATTCAGAGGAAGAAGATGTAACTTCCTCCTTCTTAGCTGCTCCGCCTTAAAGTGCCGTGCTTCCTGCTGACAACGGAAGGGGCCAAAAGAGGACTTGCTGTCTGGACTGGGACACTGCTGAATTGACTGGCCAGGAGTATGAGGGGACCTGCATGCTGTCCAGGTCGGGACATGACTGCTGATGTGAGTGAGAGTCCTGGGGGGAAAGTGAGCAGAGGAATCCGGGTCTGGCCTTACCAGAGGGAGGGGACAGGGATCTAGAGGGAGGACATGCTCCTCCAGGTCCTAGAGCTGTGTACACTGACCTGCAACATCACCCCCTCCTCAGTCATGTGGAGAGGGGAGCCATCTATCACCACACCATCCACAGTACCTGTAATATGTCTGCAGTCTCTGACCATCTCCTGTAGTACCATCTCTGACCATTTCCTGTACTATGTCTGCAGTCTCTGACCATTTCCTGTACTATGTCTGCAGTCTCTGACCATTTCCTGTACTATATCTGCAGTCTCTGACCATTTCCTGTACTATGTCTGCAGTTTCTGGTCATCGCCTGTAGTATGTCTGCAGACTCTGACATCTCCTGTATTATGTCTGCAGTCTCTGACCATTTACACTAATCTGTCTGCAGTCTCTGACCATTTCCTGTACTATGTCTGCAGTCTCTGACAATTTCTGTACTATGTCTGCAGTCTCTGACAATTTCCTGTACTATGTTTGCAGTCTCTGACAATTTCCTGTACTATGCCTGCAGTCTCTGACCATCTCCTGTAGTAGTATGTCTGCAGTCTCTGACCATCTCCTGTACTATGTCTGCAGTCTCTGACCATCTCCTGTACTATGTCTGCAGTCTCTGACCATTTTCCTGTACTATGTCTGCAGTTTTTGACTATCTCCTTTAGTCTGTCTGCAGTCTCTGACCATCTCCTGTAGTAGTATGTCTGCAGTCTCTGACCATCTCCTGTAGTAGTATGTCTGCAGTCTCTGACCATCTCCTGTATTATGTCTGCAATCTCTAACCATCTCCTGTATTATGTCTGCAGTCTCTGACCATCTCCTGTAGTATGTCTGCAGTCTCTGACCATTTTCTAGTATAGTCTCTGACCATGTCTGTTGTCTCTGACCATCTTCTGCAGTATGTCTGCAGTCTCTGACCATCTTCTGTAGTATGTCTGCAGTCTCCGACCATCTCCTGTTGTATGTCTGCAGTCTCTGACCATCTTGGGGCAGCACAATGGCTAAATGGTTAGCACTTCCGCCTGGCAGTACTAGGGCCGTCCCAACCACAGCACCACCTTCCTGGAGTTTGCATGTTCTCCCTGTGCCTGCGTGGGTTTCCTCCAGTTACTCTAGTTCCTCCCACACTCAACAGACATGCTGGTAGGTTCATTGGCTCCTGTCTTAATTGGCCCCAGTATATGTATGTATGAATGTAAGTTAGGGACCTTTAGATTGTACACCCCTTGAGGGTTAGGGACTGATGTGAATGTATAATATATACTATATGTAAAGTGCTGCGTAAATTGTGTGAATATGATGTGAATGTACAATATATATATATATATGTAAAGTCTCTGGTCATCTCCTGTAGTATGTCTGCAGTCTCTGACCATCTCCTGTAGTATGTCTGCAGTCTCTGACCATCTCCTGTAGTATGTCTGCAGTCTCTGACCATCTCCTGTAGTATGTCTGCAGTCTCTGACCATCTCCTGTAGTATGTCCGCAGTCTCTGGTCATCTCCTGTAGTATGTCCACAGCTCTGGTCATCTCCTGTAGTATGTCTGCAGTCTCTGGTCATCTCCTGTAGTATGTCCGCAGTCTCTGGTCATCTCCTGTAGTATGTCTGCAGTCTTTGATCATATCATGTATGTGTGTTTTGACATATCTATTGTTATTTTATTGTGTTTGTATGCATTAAATTTAGTTTTAGTGAATTATTGCATTTTGCACTAATATTAATTAAATATTTTAATTAAAAAAAACTGCAACTAGCATCATTTGATTCTAAGGGTTCTTTCAGAAAATATATACTGTTTTGTTGTTAGTGCATTTAGGGACATATGCACACAATTAAAACAAAACAGTTCTGGCAGTGAAAGGTTTCAAGTTACAAAAAAAAGTGGGAAATTTAAAGCAGAACTCCAGTTAGAGTTTTTTTTACCATGCCCACTACATGGATCATCTGCTTGGTTTTTAACCACTTGCCTACAGGGCACTTATACCCCCTTCTTTACCAGGCCAATTTTCAGCTTTCAGCGCTGTTGCACTTTGAATGACAATTGCACGGCCATGCAAGATTGTACCCATATGAAATTTTTATCATTTTTTTCTCACAAATAGAGCTTTCTTTTGGTGGCATTTAATCGCCGCTGGGTGCTTTACTTTTTGCGCTATAAACAAAAAAATTACAAAAAATGTGAAAAAAAATGTTTCTTTCTATTAGAACATTTTTCAAACAGGTAATTTTTCTCCTTCACTGATGTGCGTTGATGAGGCAGCACTGATGGGCACTGATAGGCGGCACTAATAGGCAGCACTCATAGGCAGCACTAATGAGGTGTCACGGATAGGCAGCACCAATGAGGTGTCACGGATAAGTGGCACTGATAGGTGGCACTGATGATGGGTACTGATAGACAGCACTGATAGGTGCCACTGACTGGCATCACTGCTGGGCACTGACTGGCGGCACTGCTAGGCATTGACTGGCGCAACTGCTGGGCACTGACTGGCACAACCACTGGGCACTGGTGGGTGGTACTGGTGGGCACAGGTGGGTGGCACTGCTGGGCACAGGTAGGTGGCACAGGTGGGTGGCACTGGAGGGCACAGGTGGGTGCACTGCTGGGCACAGGTGGGTGCACTGCTGGGCACTGGTGGGTGGCACTGCTGGGCACCGATCATCAGGGCACTGATCATCAGTGCCCTGATGAACGGTACCGATCCCTGCTCTGACAACTGCCAGTTCTCGGCAGTACTTTCCTCGCGCTCTGACAGCGCAAGGAAAGTGCAGCCGAGAACCAGCAATTGCATTTCCCGGTGATCAGCATGTCATTGGCCACGGCTGATCATGTGGTAAAAGGCCGCGGTGATTGGCCTTTTACCACATCACGTGATCAGCTGTGTCCGTAGGACACAGCGATCACGGAGATCGCCGGGGGCGCGCAGGAGAGTGCGTTCTGGGAGGACGTCATATGACGCCCTCCCAGAACTGGCCGTCCGCAGTGTAGCCGTCATTCGGCTATCTGCGGTTGGCAAGTAGTTAAAGGGGTAAGGACTAAGCTCATACTCACCTGACCTGCCAATCCTATGGAAAACCGCACTCCCCCACTCGCCAGCGATGCACTGTTCCTGTCTGTGGAGTGTACATTTAGCGTGCCGACGTCAGGAACAGCCCATTTACAAGACCACTAGAGTGCAGGGGGGCAGGAGCCAAAAGAACCGGTCTTGTGCTGGGAGGATCAGCGGGTCAGGTGAGGATATCTTCGGTGACCCACTGCACGGGCCAAAAAAGAAACTTTCCCAAATTTCTGCTTTAAACTAAGCATGCAATGAAAGAGACATATAGGGAGTGGTTTACTTTGCTAAAAACAGTAAGTCAATACAATCCATGCATTCGTAGACTTATATGCAGCTGAACAGATATCAGATCTGGAATTTTTGTGTAAAAGTGCAGTACGTCCTTTTTATTAAGTCCTGTTTTATAAAGTTGAAAATTTCAGACTACAATGTATAACTATCTGCTCCTGGCTCCCAGTACTTACTAAGCTCTAACAGGTGCCGGTTGTAAACATAATTGCTAAGTTGGACTCAGGTTTAGTCATTAAAATGTGACTGTGGCGTGCAGAGAATTTAATATTAGACAAAGCTGTTGGGTCCTAGCTAGGGTGTACATGGACAGTATGACCATCCTGAATTATAACAGGATCTGGCAATAACTGGCCTGTTAATAGGGTCCCTGTTATTTCTATAGATCTCCTTGCCAAAAGGCTTTTGGCACACTTGTAGTTTCTGTAGCCCATTTTCATTAGATGAGAGCTGATTGGCTGTTACTGGAGTAGTTGCATTTTCTAGCAAATTCAGACACATTGACAGTGAATAAAAAAATGATTTATGTAAAATACTTGATTTTTCTGTGCTTCAACCTGCAGTTTTTTACTTGCTGTTTCTTTTTTCTCCATCCAGAAGTACCCTGTACTCTGGGCACATGAGCACTCTCTTCCTTGTCACTCCTCCCAGCTACTCTCTACATTAGTTGTTAAAAAAAAAAATCAGCAAATGCCAGAAACACTTACTGTATGTAGCGCTCACTCCAAAGGAATTGCTGACACTTTCTGGCTCTTCTTTCTGCTCCAGTGATGCCCGAACAAGAACTAACCAAGGACTCCTTGGTATACCTTGTGACTCACAATGGGCTTCATTAAAACATTAAACAAAGGAAAAAGAAGCAAATACAGACAGTGAGATTACAACACAATAATGGAGATGCAGTGGATACAACACAGCACGCAAACAATATAACTACCTATATGTATATGACGATGCCAAACAGATTTACCAAAACAGCCCATAGATTATGAAATTTTATTTTCTTCCACCACGGGTGAAAGGAAAGAAAATTGCTCAATTCTCCCATCAACACAGTCATTGATAATGGAAGAATCCCTCCCACAGCGCTATTGTGTTCTGCCGGCGTGGAGGCTTCCCTGCCAACAGAACACAATGATCATTTGTTGCAGCTACAACCTGGATGAAAGGTCCTGCCCCACTGATGGGGCCACCCTCTCAAGCTGATGTGTTTAGCAGCACCACGTCTTACTCTCCACAAAGGATCAGGCACAGCCGTAGTGTCTCACCAGATCAGGAATAGCTGCAGTCTCTCACTGGATCAGGAACAGCAGCTCTGTGGAACATAGTTTATTTTGCAGCAAAACCACAGCAGCAGCAGTTTGGAATACAGCGTAGCAAGCCTGTGTAGAAACTCAGTCTCTATCAGGGCCTCTACACAGGTCCCAGCCTCCTGACTATACCCACTATACTGCTCCCAGCACTTGGCAGAATGGTCCCCAGTATGGGCTCTCAGCAGCGAGGTCTACCACTAACAGCACAGCTCTATCTCTGGTGGAGAAAAGTTATTAGAGCTATTCACAAAAGCCACTTAGCAACAGCTAGTAGTCTCTGGGCAGCCCATCTCTATCCTCCAGCTGCACACTCTTTACTCCCTACATCATCCCTCCCAAAGCACAAGCTGATCAACTCCTCTCTTCAGGTTTGGGCACTGTGGGAGGTCTAGTCCACACAGCCCTCCATAGCCCAGGACTTCTCCATCCAGGGAACTACATCCTCCAGCAATCCCAGTGATCCATCATCCAATGGGCAGAGCTACAAATCTGGCCAACAGCCAATGAGTCCATCTCTCACTTCTGTTACTATGGGTGGGCTTTAGTTCCAGGCTGCAGCTGCAACAAGTAGTGTTGTTCCCTTTGTCCTGGCAGGGTGGGATTAACAATCTGTGTCTAGTGTCTATGGCTTAAAAGACTGGTAGCTGGATTTAGGACACATACCTAAATTTATGTTCATGTGACACTCTGGCTCCCAAGCTATCTATCGCATTTGGGTGTCCATAACACTGCCTGGGTGACGTGAAAACTTCCCGTTGGCTGCCTAGTTGTAGGGTCCTCAAAAAAGCTGCAACAGCATGATGATGTCAAGCAGATGCAATTGGTCTACTGCAGTGATGTATCCAGTTGTGTACCTAGAAGCAGCTCCGGGGAGAGACATAGTCAGAGGACTGCATTGACTGGGTGTAAGATAGGATGGGATGGGTGATTCTTCGTGTCCAGAGATTAGCTTTTTTTTTATCTGGTGATCCAGTCAATAACAGAATTTCTGTCTGAGGATACCAGTACTGCACTTGAGGAACAACAGGGGCACCCTTGGACAGCAGCGTTATCAGTCTACGGAGAGTGTAGTGTTAGATACAAGACCAGATTTCAATGGAATTGACTAACAAATTAAAGTCGGTCTTTTCCTAATAATTTTTAGGAAGGTACAGCAACTGTATTTTGTTTTTGTTTTCATTTTGGGGGAGAGGTTTTAAATGAAAAATGAATAAAAGGTAACCAATGTAAGCACTCCTGTTGGCGTTACATATTTTGCCTCTACACTGTAACTGCTACCTTTGAAGGCACCTTTATCAAAGTTGAAAAATAACAGACTTATTGGCTGGATCACCAAGTGTAAATAAAGGGAAAAAAAGACCCTAAAAGCATATTGCATTTTAGTTTTGGGTAACATGTCGCTCTAAGCTTGTTAGGGGGTGGGGGTTACCATTCCATTTTTTTTTCTTTGATTCAGCATAGGTAATAGAATCCAAGCATTATCTTTTGAATAAAGTTTTAATTCACAGAAAAGGAAACGGAACAGAAGTTCATTCTGAAAACACAGTCTTTAGTTATTTATACCCTGCTTCATAGAGGCTTTTGTGAACCTGTCAAATGCATTTTTTCAGATCTCTCAGTAATCCTTTTTACAGACTGCCTGCTTCTCCACAGCCCATTCAAAAGACCAGCACATGACTGCTGCTGATAAAGAGACTCTTCAGTCTTTGAGCAAGAACCCGCTGAAGACCAGATGATTGAAAAATGGAACTGTAAACCGAAGTCATATGCTTGTCACTTGATATGGAGTGCGCAGCTAGTAATGGACAATAAAGCTTCATTAGAAAATAAGTACAGGCTTGTTTCTAAATTATCTTCTTGGATGCACATTTAAAATGATCCTGGTAGAAAATAATGGCAGATGTAGTTCTGAAATGATCCCAGATCTTGTGTTACATGTATCTATAGAACATTTTTAAAGGCAGCCTATGATCTATTGTCATGAAGTTCGGATTGGTGATTGTACATTTAACTGA